TGACCTGTAGTACAATTAGCAGGTGGTCTAACATGTATAATTGGAGTTCCCTGAGCAGAAGAGACAGGGAATATACAGAAAAATGTTTAAAGAAATGGCCAAAGATTTCCAAATTTGACAAAAATATAAACCCCACAGTTCAAGAAGCTTGAGAAGCTCCAAGTAGGATACATACACATACACACACATGCACACTCAAGGCTTATCATAATTAAATTCTGGAACACCAATGATGATAAGAAAATTTAAAAGCAGCTGGAGAGAAAATAAACACACATTGTGTTCAGAGTCATCCTTAGTTATTATTTTTCCTCCTTTCTACATCCATTCCATAAGCAACTCTTGCAAATGGGCTTTAAAATGTAACCACTTAATGTAACCAAAAAGTTCACATCAGAAACTATACAAGTCAGAAGACAGTGGGATGACCAATGTCATCTTAGAAAGGACTTCCTGACCATCCTATCTAAACCACCAGACCCTCCCTTTCCCCCACTGTTACATTCAATGTTCTTACCTTGCATTAGTTCATAATTCCCATGTTGTGTGTGTCTCTCCACTGGAATGTAAGCTCCAAAAGGGAAGGATGTTAAAACATTCTTTGCCTTGTTCACTGCTTTATCCCCAGTGCCTAGAACAGTACCTAGTATTTAGTAGGTGCTCATTAAATATTTGATAAGTAAACTTGTCTTCCAGGCAAAATAGTATAAAGGCAGAGGGGAGTAAAGCATTCTAGAACTACTCATAGTTTGGCACAGTTGGAGCCTGAGATGTGCAGTAGTGAGTGGGGGAAATAAAGCTGAGTGTGAGACAGATGCCAGATCATAGAGGAAATTGTATGAGGAATGTGGACTTCATTCTGTAGGTGGGGATTTTAGGCAGAGGAGTGTTGATATTCGAATTGCATTTTATAAAAATACTGTGTCAGCCCCCTGTGCCTGCTGAATTAGAGGGGTGAGTTTGGGATCAGGGAAACAAATGGGAAAGTCCCAGTGCAAGATGGTGCAGACCTAATCCAGACTAGGAGCAGTGAGGAGAGGGAAGATCTAGACAGTTCTTGGGAGGTAGAATGTGCAATAGTTGGTGTGCAGGTAGATAGAAAGGATGAAGGAGAAATTGTTGGCTTGTGTGATTGGGTGGATAAGGAATACTGGGGGCAAAGTCGACTTTAGAAAGATGGTATGTTAATTATCTATTGCTGTGTAACAAATTACCCCCAAACTTAGCAGCTTAAACTAGTAAACTATTGTCTCACAGTTTCTGTTGATCAGCAGTCTAGGCCTAGCCAACTGCCTGTGGCTCAGAGTCTCTCACAAGGCTGCAGTGAGCATGTTGGCCAGGACTGCAGTCATCCCAAGGCTTTACTGGGAAGGGATCCTCTTTCAAGCTCACTCACATGGCTGCTGGCTCAGGTCCCCCCTTCCTGCCCCCGGCTGTTGTCCCACCTGGGCCTCTCCATTGGGCAGCTTACAACACAGAGGCTGGCCTCCCTCAGAGTAAGCGAGCAAGAGAGTTAAGGGAATGCATGCCAAGGTGGAAGTCACGATAGTTTATAACCCAATATTGGTAGTGACGTCCCATCATTTCTGCCCTATATTATTAGAAAGAAGTCACCAGGTTCAGTCCACACTCAAAGAGAGGGGATTATGCAAGGGCATGAACACCTGGAGGTTGGGGTCATTGGGACCTTAGAGGTTGCCGACCACAGATAGTGAGCTTGGAGGTGTTTGATTTGAGGAGTCTGGGACCTCAGTTGGAATGCCCTGGATGCAGGAGGATGTGTAGTTTTGGATCTCAGGAAAGAATCCCCTCTCCTTGGAATGTAGCTTGGAACCTTCACATTAGTGTTCTCCCCAACTTTGGAAGCTACTAGAAGTCAGAGATGAAGGCTAGAGATTTTTGAATCCCCAGGGACCCCTCAAGTAGGAGGTGAGCAACACATACCTGCTGACTGAATTACTTAGAGGAGGGCAGAGTATCACATAATCGAAAAGGTCTCTCTCTTCTCTCTCTCTCTTACCATTTGACAATTCCTGCTCTTCCATGGAACCAGAGAGAGGCCTCCCCCTTTCTAAGCTGCAGGTTTCTGGTCTGCACAAAGCAGGTATTAGACTAGATTAGTAATTTTTTTCAATGGAATTTTTTTTCCTAGGAACCCCAGTATGGAATATAGGTAAAAGTTGATCTGATCTGGCCTCTCCAGTGCTTTCCCAGAAAGAAAAACACCCCGTTTTGAAAAACACTGGATCAAGTAAATCCCAATTTTCTGCCAGCTCATCATTCTTGGATTTTACGACAAGATCCACTCTAAGCTCCTTCCCATTCTATGATTCTGTTTATTGAGATCCATTGGTGCAACATATTTTATTGAACTTTTGAAAAGAAAACAACTCATATTTCCTTGAACTTGTGAAAAAATACATATACTAAAGCTGACTTTCATTAAATACTTACACTTAGGCACTGTGCAAAATACATTCTATCTTTATTTGGTCCTGCTTCCCTGCTTCATGAGGGCAGGGACTTGGTCTAGTTCATCACTGTATTTCCAGAAGCTAAAATAGTTCCAGGACATAGGGAGCATTTCAATAGCTATTTTACATATGAATGAACTAAGGTAAGGACTGTTCTTATTGCCATTTTACAGGTGAGGAAACTGGAGCTTAGAGCTGCTAAGGAACTTGCCTGTAGATACACAATTTAAAGGCAAAACTAAAATTTGAAATTAGCTCCTCTGGACTCCAAAGCCACAGATGCCATTTCCTGTCAGTGAGACGAGTAGGAAGCTGGAAAGGGAGTCAGCATATGTTGATTCATCATACCTCCTGTATGATGAACATAGTCCTAGGTACCTTTTCCTTCCATGATCAACTGCCCGGCAAGGTAGCCACTGTTATCTCCATTTACTAGTATAAACAAGGTAAATGAGCTCCAAGAGGCTAAGCACCATACCAGAGTTGTTTAACTAGAATGAGAGACTGAGCTGGAATTGCAGCCTAGGTCTTTCTGACTCCAAACCATTTTTCAACTACATGCACCCAACATCTTCAATTACAGGCACCAAAGTTTGGGTTCTGGAAAATATGCCACTGACAGATTCAGGTCAGTATGGCTGATGAGGTTTTGTCACCCCTTCTCCAACATTCTATAGCTTTACATTCACGAAGCCGCTGTGTGTTGAACTGGAATGAGCCCAGCAGGCTGAGAAAGTGGGAATCCAAACTTCTAAGATGTAGCAAAAAATAAACGTTGATGACCAAGGATGATAAACATTGGTACTGCAGCCCGCCATTCCCTGTGGCCTCATCCACATCACATGTCTCAGACCAGGTCTGAAGTTAGACGGATGATGTCACCAGAGTCTCTTAAAGGCCTCATCACTCATATCCACTTGTCATATATTATTAAGCAGATCTATAATACATGTAACATTTTCTACTGGATTACCATTTTTTTTCATTTCATGACCAGGGAAAGAAAAATAGAGTGAGGATGACTTTTCCCAGCTTCTCATCCTTATTGCCCTTCTTTGAAGAATAATTTGGTCTTGAATTATCCCCCCAAATGGTCATTTAGGCTCTGATTTCATTAATAAGGATAAAGCCACAGTTTAATAATTATCATTTAACTGATACATATTCTATCTAGACAAGTAAATGAATTCCCCACCCCCCCCCACCCCCGGTCTTCTTGAGTCTACAGAGGAGGGTGCAGCTATATCTTTTTCTTTTCTTTATTCTCCACATTATTTTTTGAAACTTTGGGATTGCATCAATTATGTTATAAGCTTTCTATCTTATCACCTCCTGTAGAGATAATGAGAGGTCTCTTAAGAGTCTGACATCCTCACTGTCTGAGTCTAAATCTAATTAGGACCTGTGATCTCAAGGATGAGGAGGAATTATCTAGGTGAAGGGTTGTTTCATGCAGATGCACGGGTGGCTTAGGGCTTGTAAGGAATTGAAAGAGGCTAGAAGAGGAGAAAGCCTCACCAAGTCAGCATGTTGGGTTCAAGGGCAGATGGCCAACAAATGGTTAGCTTTTGGAGTTAGCTCTGGGTGTGGGCCAGATTCATGAGCATGTGATCTGCGCAATCACCCAGTGCCCCGTGGTCAGAAGGGCTCCGTGCCTGGTTTCGTGCTCTGTTCTCACTATGGTGACATTGTTAATACTTTTTGAACAAGGAGCTTTGTGTTTTCATCTTGCATTGGGTCCCACAAATTACGTAGCCTGTCCTAGCTGGGTGTGAAGTTCGGCTCTGTCACTTACTAGGGAGGCGGTCTTGGGGAAATCCATTGGCCTTTCTGAGACTCAGTTTCTGCTTCATGGAGAGTATAATCTCTACTTCAAATACACTGTCACGTGGATTAAATGAGATAATGAAGTTACTGGTGCCTAGTAGGTGCTTAATAAATACTCCCTTCTCCTTAGCTAAGATAGTATATCAGAATCATCAGGGGAATTTGTTATTCAACATACATTTGCCTGCATTCCACTCTGGAAGATTCTGACTCAGAGGTGTGGATTGGGGATGCACAGTGGTTGTGAAAGGTGTCCTTAAGTGATACTGATATACACCCAAGGTTAAGAAAGGTAGCCTTGGGTTTTCAGAGATCTAGCTAAGAAGCAACTTAATAGAGGAGAACAAAAGGAGAGGGAGAAGTTGATGGACTACTACTGATCCTTAACATAATGAAAAACCTGTTAAAGAAGAACGAGGTCATCATCGGTAGCACTTCAGATGATGGTGATAGTGCTGCAATGCACTGTGGGAACTCATCCCATTATCAAGGCTCCTATAAAATGTTCTGCCGTCCATTTGGCTTGACAAGTATGCCCAGAGGAAGAGGGGCTGCAGACAAGAGAAGCCAGGGTCAAGGCCCAGGTTGGGGGCCACATTTCAATTTATTTTCACTTTACTGACCTTTACACCAACCCCAATTCCTGAAAAGAAATTGCAGCTAGAGGGAGTAATTCTGAATTATTTTTATCCTGTGCAGATTTTAGGCTTTGACATTCTTCTAATGAAAAATCTGAAGCCTATACTACTTGAAGTTAATGCAAATCCCAGCATGAGAATTGAACATGAGCAAGAAGTAAGTCTTTTGAGTATCTCATTGAATATATTGCCGTACAGCTGGATGTTTCTGCTCTCATATTACTCACTTGGCTAAACAAGATTCAGCATTCCCAAATATGCACAGCAAAGTTCTGTTCGAGTCTAAATAACTCCAGTTTTGTTGAGCTCTGAACATAGTCTATTAATGTAAGACCTATCCGACCTGTGGTAATTTCCCAGCATGCTGTTCTTCCAATTTTTAAGATCTGGAAATGTAGAAGCAGCTGAGCCTTTTCATCAGTTTTGACATGAACTAATTAGCCTCGGGAGATGAACTAATTGAAATTCTATGAATATGATTTAGCCATGTCGACATGCTTGAATCACTAAGATAAATAGTACATTTAACAGTGGTTATATGCCCCCCCCGCCCCGAAAAAAATGCATTAAAAAGACTGGAAGGAAATACACCAAATACTAGTAATAGGTTTTAGGGGGCTTATGTGGATTCTTTTAATTTTCTTAACTCCTTTCGATATTTTTAAAATTTCTACAGTGAGCATGTATAATTGTAATAATCAAAAAAATATACTACTATTTTTCCTCCTCATGCATTTTGTTAATTTGTAAGAGGAAACTGACATTTTTAAGGTCATATACAGGGAGCCTTTAAAATATTCTTGTCTAGTTAACATAAGCAAACTCGACCACTGGGTACTGACAGTCACTTGATACTGAATCCCTGAGTCTCTCCACTGTAACATGGAATTCTTACCATTCAAGCTTTCTCCAGGGGTGTTTGAAAATGTCCCCAGCCTTGTCGATGAGGAGGTGAAAGTGGCCGTGATCAGAGACACCCTGCGCCTCATGGACCCACTGAGGAAGAAAAGAGAGAACCAGTAAGTGCTTTTATATCATCTGTTTCTATCAGCACTGCTCCCCATGCCCTATGCAGCAGGTAAGTTAAGTTCTTGGAACATGTTAAGGTCATGAGTGAGATTTACATATGAAATAATCGAATGAATCATTTTTTCATTTATGAATATCAGGCTCCAAACATAGTGACTCAGGAGATGGAGACTTGCCCATGAATTTGTAGCTAGTTGTTATCTGAATCTGAAAGTCTCACTAAAAGCCCACTTCCCCCTAGTGACGGGGTCTCCTCTTGCCCACCATTGTTCACGTGGTGCTTCTCTTTGAAATCCTCAAGCAGAGGGAGAGAGTAAAACAAATCAAAAGAGGGCCATAGGTACCATGGACGTGGTGAGTAAAGATTGCTTCCTTTTTATTTTCTTCACGATGGCTGCACTCTTTGCAGAATAAACTTTTCATGTCAACATTTGCAGAGCCAGTTTATTGACTTCTGGTGCTTCTATAATATTCACAACAGTTATAGTTCCTGTCAGTCCCACCTACCCAGTGAACGTCATATTGGGATGTTGGTGAAAGCATGCCCCCCTCCCATGGAATCACCCCTGAAATGAATGACATTTCACTTGGGTATTTTGTTTGTTTTGCTTTCCCTAAATTCCTGGCTTCCACAAAATAAGGGTTGAGTAAATATCACTGTGGTGGTTTTAGGCAGAAAAATCAAAGACAGGCATTTCAAATAGCACTCCCCGTACCCCCGACAAATGAGATCGACCCAAATGCTCCCAGACAAGTAAAGCGCTTGTCAGCTATGGATCAAGGCTGTGAGGAATGCTGACTTCCCTAAGCAAGTGGTGTTTTGCAGGTTCCTGGACTGCAGCCCCTCACCAACTGGGCTCAAGCTCAAATACTGTTAGAACCACCCTGCAGTACTGCCCTCCCCTTGGCTGCATTCTCAAATCATCTGGAGAGCTTTCAGAGACACCAGTGCGAGGCCTCCCCCCACTTCTACAGATGTTGATTTTCACTAGCCAGGGCGGGAAGCCTGGCCACAGACATTTTTGAGGTTCCCTAGGCGACTCTACCATGCAGCCATGGTTGGCACCACTGCCCTGCAGGAAATGCCACTCTGATGGAGTGTTTGTCTTACATACTCTGAGTCAGGCTGGGTGGTGCCTGCTTGACTGAGTTCCCCTCTATAGTGCACTTCACTGTGTGAGGTGCACACTGTCATTGTTGGCAAGACTCAGCCAAGGACAGTCACCTCTCATTTGCATGGGCCGAGCCTGCCAGATGTGGCTTTCACCGATTAGACATTTAAAGTGACAGCGTGGCAGGTCTGCCAAGTCCTCGGAGCAACTCAAACACTATCGCAGCCAGACAATGTCCATGTGTGCATGCTTGCAGCTGCGTTCTTCAGCCATCTTTAAAGAAAAGCGGCAGATTAATGCAGCTTGGTCAGATTAATTGCAATACAACTCATTTCTCGAAAATCTATGACGAGTATCTAATGGTTATTGATCTCACCAGTAGAGATTAGGTCTTGAAAGACTGTGGTGAGATTTTGGTGGCATGGTGGTACAAGCTTTTTAAAGGTGACCTTGACACATTAGCATTCTGGTTCCTTCGGTGGGTACAAGTTCAAAGGCCATTGTGTGGTCCCAGTCCTCGCAAACTCTGCCACCAAAATCATTTTTGCATTAAGTGGATCTGAACGTGATTTGCTTTCTTTTTCTTGTTCTAAGTTGTTTGCTTTACCTCCTACACCTGGCATTCGGCATAGCTCACGTGAGCTGTGGATGTGATTTTTAATAGCAGTGGGACACAGGGCCATTAGGAAGGATGGGAAAGGCATTTATAACTTATTAAGTCATAAGTGGCAGCACTTCATCTTTAATTTAAAAAGCATTGACTTTTCTTTTAATTGATAACCAGGAGCAGTTTGAACTTCAAGAACCTGACTTCAATTCTAATATAAAAATTCTTTCATCTCACCCTTTCTTTACATACAATATTAAGGGTATATGTTAATAGCTAAATGTGATTATTTATATTTCCCTTAATTTTATCTTTAAAAAACAGCAATGATTGTTCATGAAAGCACTTTGTAATTTGTGAGGTGCACTTCTACACAAGAGATTATTATGATCATTTTGATAACTTTACTAGGCAGAGAAAAAGGCTGAAATTGGTCTCCACTCCTCTGTGTAGAAATGTTTCAGAATAGCTTGGAAAAGCACCATGTTTATGGCCACAAAAAAGGCACAGGGTTGCACTGAATTACCCATGTCCACATCTGAGACCATGTCACTCCAAATGTAGGAAATGATGTCACATAGACTTCTCAGCTGGAAGTTACCTTTAGAGAGTAGAGCTTTTGCGTTTGCATAGGATGTGACCTAAACTCTTGAAAACAAATGGTATGCTAGCCTTTCTCTTCAACTTGTTAGTAAAAGTTGTCCCTCAGTACTTCCTTCTTAAGTACATTTTGTCAGCAAGACTGCTGAGGTGGGTCTTCATTTTTCTGCACAGACTGAAGGCAAAAGGTAGATAGTTGCCAGAACTGCTCAGATCTCTAAATTCCTCTGAGAAGATGCAGAGGGGGCATTAGAAGGGCCTGGGATGCGTGTGTCTGTGCATCATGCATCTTCACACACCTCGGGGGCCTGTAGGCTGCAGTCATGTTCGTGGCAGCACTGAAATCAGTCCTCATGCCTTCTCCAGGGCGAGAACTTGCTGATACCCTTTGGCATGGTTGAAAGAGCTTTTTCTTGATCTAGAGAGACTGAGATTCAAATTCTGACTGTGGGATGTTGCAAAGCAGTTTTGAGCCTCAGTATACTTTTCTATAAAATGGGGATAATAACATTTAAATGAAACAATGTGCAAAATTTGTAATATATAGTAGGCACTTAATAATGCTTCGTTTACTACCCAACAATAAAGTTATCTACTAAAACATTTTAAAAAAACACAAAAATAATGCTTATTTCCTGTTATCTTTTCTGTATACTTAAAGCAGAATTTTGAGTTTAAAACCAATAATATATCCTAAAACTGAAGCTACCAGGTCACTTTGACATTGATGCTGGTTGCCAATGGAAACATCTGTTTCCAAATAGCAAGATGTAACAGGACCAGGCATATTTATTTGTTGGGTTAGGAATAAAATCACTGTCATATGAGAACTATTTGGAACTGTGATAACATCTATATAATAAAAGCCTAAGCAACCTGTTATAGTGGAACTACCAGAACGACCGGTCACTATGATGTGCACTGACCACCAGGGGGCAGACGCTCAATGCAGGGACTGCCCCCTGGTGGTCAGTGCGCTCCCACAGGGGGAGTGCCGCTCAGCCAGAAGCCAGGCTCATGGCTGGTGAACGTAGTGGCGGTGGCAAGAGCCTCTCCCGCCTCCACAGCAGTGCTAAGGAGCAGTGAGCAGAGGGCGGTAAGGAGCAAGGGGTCCTGGACTACAAGAGGGCACAGGCCAGGCCGAGGGATCCTACCAGTGGATGAATCCGTGCACGTATGCATATAAGATCTTTGGTTAATCTCTTCCTGCCCTCTGAGATTCATCAGTCTGTTCCATGTTTCCATGCCTGTGGTTTCTGCTCCTGCGTTGAGTGTCCGCCCCCTGGTGGTCAGTGCGCATCATAGCTACTGGCTGGTCGGACAGTCACGTGGGCTTTTATATAAATAAAAAATATAAATAGATAATATTCCATTATTTGGATAGACCACATTTTATATTTATTTGTCACTTGATGGGCATTTGGTGGAAGCCATCTCTTTTTCAACCAGAATGATCTGTCTTCTATTTTGGCATTCTACCATAGATTTCATTTGAGGGGAAAGAAGCTTTTTTGTTGAGGGGAAAGAAGCTTTTTTGCTACAAGAAGTTTTTAAAACCTTTGGTTTAATCTAACCCGCTTATTGGACCTTAGAAACCATCATGCCAGTCAACTTCCTGGTTCAGGAATCTTCCTCCTAAGCATCCAGGAATCTTCCTCCTAAGCATCCCTGACAGAGGAGCAGTGTCCACAAGTCACTGGACATGGCATCCATCAGGTCTGGGGTGATGTCCTCAATCTTCGATCATTGCTCCAGGAGCTTGGCCAAGTGGCTTTGTTCTCTGATCTTGTCTATAAGATGGGATCATGGCATTTCCTGGGCTGGATTGTCATGGTCATCATATGAAATGACACATGGGGGAGAGCCTTAGACAAACTCGAGTTCTTCAGGTCACCAGGTGGCCAGTCAGACTTTATAGTTATGCTGACGGTGACAGCTACGTCACCAGCTATGGGGCAGCCTAACAGAATTGTGTGTATAGTGGTTCTGAATCGTACAAGATGAAACTAAGAAGGAGGTCAGTACTTGCCCCAAATCATAAGCTGTTTAGAGGCAGAGCAGATGAGCTGTGGGTCCCCTGACTTCTACCCCAGGGTTCTCTTCGCTTTGCTACAATGCTTCATTGACCTTCAGCTTCTACTTCAATTCAAAGCTAAGCTCATAAGGTAAGGGAGGGAAATCAGGAAAATCAACAGAAAATTTCTCCCCCCACCCCCTTATTAAAAGGTATTTGGGTAGCTTGAAAAAAAAATTTTTTATAATTCGATCAGAAGTAGAAGTGAATAAATTGCATTCCCTGCTTATTTTAAAAACAAGATGATGCCATCAATTGATTAATTTTGGGGAGGTCAGTTTACCCCCTGAAGGAGCCATTTTACTCATATTTTGCTCCTTTTCTGGAATGTAGATATTTCTGGTAACCAGATTCCTTTCTCAGGAATCATAATAAGTTAGGACCCCAGAGTAATAAAAATGAAGCCAGAGATAGGCTTGGAGGACTCTGGGGGAATTTTCTTGCTTGATGCCATGCAGTGCCTGGGAGCTGGGTGTACACTGCTTGCCTCCTATTCAAAAGTGTATTTTTGGAACCTGCCTTATATAAGGCACAGAGGCCCCTTTCCCACAGTAACGTTTCCCCCTCCTCTCCCAGTTTCATTTACCTCCTGTCACC